AAGCTTCCTCTATGAGGAAGCCATAACAATGGAAGCAATGTGCAAATTTCTAATTAGAAAAAAAGTAAAGTAAAGTAAAGTGTGTAAATTAGAAATTTGCACATGGCTTCCTCATAGAGGAAGCTTTAAGAGCGAAATAAGAATATGCAAATTTCTAATTTGTATACTTTCAAGAAACATCGTAGTAAAGTTAAATTTCTCTCTTAAAGCTTCCTCTATGAGGAAGCCATAACAATGGAAGCAATGTGCAAATTTCTAATTTGCCTACTTTAATGATGAGGAAGAAATGTGCAAATTTCCATTGCACGCTTCAATGCTGAAGAAGCAATGTGCAAATTTCTAATTTGCACACTTTCTTAAGAAACATCGAAAAAAATTAGATTTCGCTCATAAAGCTTCCTCCATGAGGAAGCCATGTGCAAATTTTTTATTATGCGATGAGGTATCGTAATAATGAGGATGAAACTGGAAATTAATTATTTCAGTGATTAAATATATGTATACATATGTATATTTTTTAAGCTTATTTGCGAAAATGCGACTTGTCAAAATCTAACCTTCTAATAGCTTACCGAATTCAAGGTTAGATTTTGACAAGTTGCATTTTCGCAAATAAGCTTAAAAAATATACATATATATTGATATATTTGTGATTGATATATTGATGTATATATACAACATATAGTGTATATATACATATATATATACATATATATATATAACCTTGTAAATAGCTTACCGAATTTTGTGTCAGTGGTTGGTATCACTACTTAACAACTAGTTAAGCTAACTAGCCACTATGGGCCCGGGCCTAACATACAGGGTGGGTCTTAGCTGCTGCGCGGGCCCTTTTACCATGAGAGATGGATTACCGACTACAACTTTAGTTCACTGAACGGCACAAGAGGGCAGCTGCTTAGATCTCAGGGATGTTGCAGGCAAGTCGAAAACTTGTTCCTGAAGCCTATCACACAATGCGAGGCAACAGGCAACAGGAATAGGGAATAGAATTTTTGACGCGTTGGATTGGTTGAAGGAAAATTTCTGACGAATCCAACGCGTCAAAAATTCTATTCCCTATTCCTGTTGCCTCGCATTGTGTGATGGGCTTTACAGACATCACGCGGAGAAAAATAATTTGCTAACACAATACATATATCTTAAGTAAATTTTGTCTGTTATTTTATGATAAAGTTATTTTCAACTTCAAGTTTAATAATTGATCGTATCTGGCTATTTTAATGTAACAGACTCGCTTCGGAGCGAGTCTGTTACATTAAAATAGCCAGATACGGTCAATTATTAAACTTGAAGTTGAAAATAACTTTATCATAAAATAACAGACAAAATTTACTTAAGATATATGTATTGTGTTAGCAAATTATTTTTCTCCGCGTGATGTCTGTAAGGAACAAGTTTTCGACTTGCCTGCAACATCCCTGAGATCTAAGCAGCTGCCCTCTTGTGCCGTTCAGTGAACTAAAGTTGCAGTCGGTAATCCATCTCTCATGGTAAAAGGGCCCGCGCAGCAGCTAAGACCCACCCTGTATACGTATATGCACATACGTACCATATAAGTATCGGAACACAGCTGCACAGCCCGGATGATTCGCTAAAGAATGCTGACATAACCAATCGTTGGTAATCATAGTGGTGGATATTGCCTGCCTCTTTTCTGTTTCAGTCGCGTTAGTCCCAGTCTACAATAGATGATTTAAGCCCTAAGCTTTAAGAAATTGGCCAATCACGGTCAAGTATGAGTAGAATGCGCGACTGTGATTAGTCAATTTCTTAAGGCTTAGGGCTTAAATCTCTATTGTAGACTGGGACTTACCGTCGTGGCGTTTCCGGCGATTTGGAACAGAGAAAAGAACGAAGCCAAGAGAGAAAAGTGATCAGCGTCGTCGACAAGACGAGCCCTCTGACGGCGAGGCGCATCCGCACGAACGTCGCCACCACGTCTGAATGGTCTGAATCACGATGCTACGAACAGGTCCCTCATAGTCATAGGTCTGAATGGCGGCGGTGGGCAGCAGTCGGGTCGACCGTCCGTCCGTGCGCTCCAGCGAGCTTTTACCTTTCGGCTGAAACGAGGAGAAAAAACCCATAGGGAGGAGGGAAAATGGAGCGCCTACTGTTGAATTTGCTCACGGCCGACAATGCTGTGATACAGGAGGTATTCGTGCGCTCTCGATATTCATCCTTTCGCCTCCGTTAAGTCGGACAGCCTGTTGAAGGCGCCCCGCGAACACGTGCTCTCCCATTCCGTACCGTCGACCAGTCTCGTCCTGGGTCTTGCCGGACGGCCACCCGGCATCTCGAGGGCTCGAGCGAAATCTCGCTGCTCGAGACAGTGTCGTGCGCGAGGTGATCTCGAGCTCGTCCCGTTTTCTGTTTTCATCCTCTACCATTGTTACCCGTCGCAGTATAAGCGCTTAAAATTGTCTTGGGGGTCTGTCCAGACAAATTCGCATCAATCAATCTCTTTATGCGTGTGCTTACACACTTGTGCAGGTTTCTCTGGGTAGACCCCAAGTCGTAGACGTGAGGCATGGCAAAGAGAGAAACTTGAGTCGCGAAAGTCTCCTGTATACAACTTACAAGTTTTTCTTCGCCTTGTCTTACGTCCATGATCTAAGACAGTTTTACGGATTGTTCTCTTCCATCAGCTTAGTCCCAGTCTACAATAGATGATTTAAGCTCTAAGCTTTAAGAAATTGATCAATCACGGTCAAGTATGAGTATGCGACTGTGATTAGTCAATTTCTTAAGGCTTAGTGTTTAAATCTCTATTGTAGACTGGGACTTACTCCACGCATTGTAGACGATGCATTGGGCAACAACCCTGCAACTGCCCCGCAATGATTCTGTGCATATCCATGTGTTTGATAATTTCAGGCAACCAAGGAGCTTAAGAAAGTACTTCAAACTCCGGAGAGCGTGTCAGCTTTGTGCCAAGTTGTCGTAACGTCGAGGAGCCCAGAGGTTTGTGTCTTCTCACGGAATTTAGTCAGCACGTATATTTCTCTGAAAGTTGAAACACATGGCGACGCATTGTTTCAGATACGGCAGTATGCGACTCTTGTTCTTAGGAGACGTTACACTAAAGGGAAGAGCTGGACAAAATTGTCTGTACCTATACGAACTGAATTTAAGAAAGTTATTTTACAGGTGAGAAGTTTGTGCGGTACGTCGCTTTGACGGTGTACGATTTCCGTATCGTCATTGAGTTCATTCAGCGTTTCCATAAGTCTGTTCTTTGTAGCCGAACTGACCACACTAGTTCAAAGTTTATCTCTCTCCCTCCACGCTGGAAGGAAAAAGATAAGCTCTGAACCAGCGCAGCCGGGAAGAACAGACCTTTATTATACCAGTTCTTCGATACGCACGTTTCTTTGAACCGTTGATTGGTCATAAAGTAGTATCGCTTCTTTAAAAAGTGAGAAAAAGCAACGGATCTCAAAGAATATTCTGCAGTTAGAGAATACTCCTTTAGACGGGGGACAAAGATGTCAAAGAGAAGTCAATTTTTATGATTTAATTGGTTTTTATGATTATTTTAACGTTATCTTTTTCAGGCCTTGGAACACGAGGTGGACAACACTGTTAGAAAAAGTATAGCTCAATTAATAGGCGTCATTGTTAAACACGAATTACCTACGAACAGCTGGCCGGAGATTATACATTACGTGCAACGGTTAATCGCTAGTGAAAGATTGGAGGATAAAGAAGTAAGTAAAAAAAAAACAAAAACTAAATATCCACTTAACATTAACTTAATATCAACTTAATATCAACTTTTTTTTTGCAAAATGATATTAAATGCATGTTTAATATCATGTATATTAAACCGAGGAAAGTCTAATTTAATTTTTGGAGATTTATCGTATCAAGAGCTTGTCCGCTATTTTACGATATGAAATATTTTATTCTAGCTAGGCCTTTATACTTTATCAGTTATGACAGACATTACTCCGGATGCCTATACCTCGCATGCCAGATCTCTGGTGATGCTTCTCGCTCAAACGTTGAGCACTCTTGAGAGCTTAGGAAACCCTGCCGCTTTTTACATTTTGGACACATTGCGACATCTCATCCCCGTAGCTACACACGACGAAACGGTTGGTTTTCCCTACACTGCGTTTTTGCTAAGTCTCGACTATTGTATTGTATTTATGTATACATTACTTTATAGTGTATTGTGTACGTTTTGCATTAGTGCGATCATTTTTATTTATATATCCGTTCCCAAAACGGATTACAATTGTTATTTCATGCTCGATTTCAGTCAAAGACTTCTTTTCGTTTTTAACTCTTGAATCGGTTACTTGCAAGTCGAGGTAAATCTCTTAGAAAACCTCATACACAAACCACATATATATACGTGGGGTGAAGGCTGGGGATCGAACTCGGGACCTGCCGATTACGAGTCGATCGCTCCTACACGTAGCCACGCGTCACCCCAATGCCGACTATTGTAAACTACCTTGTTAACAAATACGCAATTCCAGATAGTACATACTTATGGTACAATGATGCCGTTGATAATGGCCACGGTTCAGGCTTTATCCGAATCCGACCACGATGTATCCTTCGCCATCCAAAGTTTCGAACTGTTGGACGAATTGTGCGAGAATATGATTGCTGTAATAACGCCCCACGTGAAACACCTTGTCCACATGAGCCTCACGATCATCGCTAACAAATCTATAGAAGAGGACTTAAAAATTAAGGTCATCAGTTTCATCGGCTGGCTGGCGAGACTGAAGAAAAAGGCTCTTGTGAAGCACAAGTTAGTGGAGCCTATCGTTGGTGAGCGATTCGAATATTGCAATAACTAATGCGTGTTGACAGGAAGGAAACTTAATTGATTTTTCGCATCTATTCGCAGACATGCTATTCGCAGTCATGATGAATAAACCGGACGATGACGACGATTATTCAAATGTAGAGAATGATAATACTGTTTTAACAAGCGTTACTCAAACTTTGGACTTACTCGCGATGCATTTGCCGCCGGAAAAACTAATTCCGCATTTGGTAAACTTCAGAATAATTTGTTAAATATATACAAATGTACTTGTTATATTATTCTTACAAGTTGATTATAACGTGCGATCGTAATGTATCGGTTTTATATCTTGAATCTCTTTTTTTTTCTTGTAGCGTTATAAACAATCAATTGCACATTACGAGTGCATTTCTTGTATCCACGAATCGTTGGTTGTACAGTCTTTCGATTATTTTCTCAAATATAAGAAAGCTGTTCCAAAGTGAATAGATATTAATTTCACAGTTGCGACATATCGAACCTGGACTACGAAGTACAGACGATTATGTGAAGAAGACGTCGTACGTGGCTATAGCTGTGCTAGCGGAAGGTTGCGCGGAGTACATTCGCTCCAACTACCTTGAATTCTTCCTGCGGTGTATCTGCGAAGGAATCTCCTATCCGTCGCCCGTCGTGCGCAACGCCGCGCTTTACGCCTTGGGTCAATACTCGGAGCACCTGCAGCCGGAGATCTCGCAGTATTCGTCCGAGTTGCTGCCTGTACTGTTTGAATATCTCGGTCAGATATGCACGTACATCAAACAAGAGAAGAAAGAACCGCACGCGGTCGGCCGGATGTTCTACGCCCTCGAGATGTTCTGCGAGAACTTGCACGAGAGGATCCTACCGTACTTGCCCAAACTGATGGAGAGGTTGTTCGAAATCCTGAACGCAGATACGTCGCCGCACGTGAAGGAACTCACCCTAAGTGCAATAGGAGCCGCCGCCTGTGCCAGCAAGGAGCACATGCTACCGTACTTCGAAACAATCATGAACCTTCTTAACAATTATCTCACCACCGAGCCAAACGAGGAAAACATGTGTCTTCAAGTTCAAGCAGTCGGTTAGTGAGAATTACTTTGAGAAGAATGACTCGATTAGTTACTCGCGTTATAGAGTAAAGCTGTAATTATAATATTTTCTACATCTTACATCTCTCTAATATTTTAGATACTCTCGGAGTGATTGCTAGGTCGATAGGCGAGGAACACTTCGCCCCATTGGCAGCCACGTCGCTCGGTCTCGGAATAAAACTGCTGAGAAATACGATTGATCCAGACTTGCGGAAGTCTCTCTACGGTTTGTTCGCTGCTATCAGCACCGTAATGAAAAAGGAGATGGCCGTGACTTTGCCCGAGATCGTCGAATACATGATAATGAGCATACGGAGTGCAGATGGGATTATGGTAATTATTGCGTAAATCACGAGGGTCGAGAAAGCCACGGAAATAATACAAATGTAATGTCGTCGTTACAGATGCACTTTAAGGACGACGAAACTAACGCCCTTGCGGTTTATGATGATCTCAGTGACACCGAAAATGAAGAAGGAGAAGAAGAGGACATTGAGTGCACTGACAACGAGGATGACAATGATGAAGAGATCGACGGTTACAGTGTTGAAAACGTCTATATGGAAGAGAAAGAGGAAAGCGTGTTGGCACTGAAGGAAATTGCCGAATACACAGAGTAAGCCTTTCTCTTTTCGGATTAGCTAATAACTGAATTAATCATACTTATAATGAATGTATTGTTGCAGAGAGGCGTTTATGCCGTATCTCGAAAGATCCTTCGAGGAGATTTTTAAGTTGATCAATTATCCTCAAGAAGACATACGGAAAGCGAGTATAGAGGCTCTATTGCAGTTCTGTGTTAATCTCTCGAAAATCAATACCGACGAAGGTAAAAAAGCACTGTTGAAGGCTCTCTCCATGTTCATCCCGAAGCTGTCGGAGCTGATAAGATTAGACGAAGAGTTGACAGTCGCCATTTGCGGTTTGGAGGCATACCAGGAACTTTTAAGGGAAGTCAAATCGGACGTTATCGTCGGTATTGGTCACAAAGAAGCCATAGTAAATTGCGTGATGGATGTAATGAAAGGTATTTCCGTTGCGTATTTCTATATCGACTTCGTTCGATACTTCAATAAATCAAAACGGGTAATTTGGAGCAATAATTTTTGTCGCAGGCAAAACGGCGTGTCAAGATCAGGAGGAAGTCGAAGGTGTCGATACCGAAGCGGAACAGGACGAGCTACTGATAGAATGCGCGGGGACTGTATTTTCTAATTTGGGAGGAGTGCTCTTGGCAGAGGACTTTTCGCACTACTTTCAGACCATGTTGCCTTTCTTCATAAAAAGAATGGTACTGCTGACTTTTCTACTTTTATTTCTCTGGAAATTCACGGTTTTGATTTTAACTAAATTCTTACAGAAAATGGACAATTCGGAAGCACAAAGATCCTTTGCTGTTGGAACGATAGCCGAATGTTTGCCCGGGCTTAACCACATGACGGTTGCGTATGTCGCACAACTGCTTCAAGCTTTTCTACAAAGTACCCAAGACCCCTGTAGCGAAGTTCGTAGCAATTGCTTCTTCGGAATCGGAGAACTTGTTTTTTATGGAAAAGAGGCAGTTTATCCGTATCCTTTTCTGTTATTTTGTAATAATCATGTTTTAGAGTTTTTTCCAAGTTTGGGAATTAATCATTTACTATTTAACAATCTCTCATTGTGTTAAATATTAATTAATGCAATAAGAGATATTTCTTTTCTAAATTAAATATTAGGAAAGTATCTTTAATTTTTTCATAATCATTTTTATAAGTAAAATATCAAAAGCATTGCATGAAATATTTTACATAATTCCAATTTACAAAAAGTTACAACTTTTTAATAGTTACATGGCGTGAAAGTAATTGCATAGGTGAAATCTTTTATTAATATTCCTTAATGATTATTGCACAGACATTACCCTAATATTCTCCAAACTTTATCATGTGCCATTGCGGAAGAGACGGATGCAGCTGCACGTGATAACGTAGTTGGGGCAATCGCACGACTTATTATCACGAATTATTCGAATTTGCCGCTTGAACAAGTATTTCCAGTTTTTGTTGAACAGTTACCTTTGAAAGCAGACTTCCAGGAGCATAAAGCTGTGTTTAAAAGTATTCTTACATTATATCAAGCTGGAGTCACTCTCCTGCAGTCTTACATTCATACGTTATTGAAAGTTGCAGTTGTCATATTACACGAAGAAAAGACTGTCGACGTCGGTGAGTATTGAATCAATAGCGACAAACATTTTTAAAAACTTCTTTTAAAACTTACTGTTTTGTTGTTTTTAAACTCCACGGAAAGTAATATGAAAGTAATGCCGCATGTAATTGATTTTCAGGTAATTTTGTTTAAAAAAAACATTTATTTCCTGTTTAGTATCAAGTGTCTTGAATTAATTTCAATTTATAATATTGACCAAGATACAGTCGGCAAGTCGACGTTCTCTCTTCGCTGGATTATAAATATATTTTTTCCTTTTTACAGAAACGCAAAATCTCGTCATGGAGTTTATCAAGTCTGCCCAGCGAGATTTTGTGAACGATTGGAATGCACTTTTTACCGAGCTGCCTCCAGAAGTTGTCACAAACATTCAACGTATATTTTCCTAATATAAACGATTAGTCATGCATTGCATTTTATCGTGTTTTAACACCTAAAATGTTGATTAATTCGTACGTTGATCCGCAGAAAACGGCTCTTTTTAAAGTATATTTTCAAAATAATTTTTTTGTCTTCAGTTCTTCCCCGCAATTCATTTCAATTGTGGGATAAAACTAAGAAAAGTAAGTCACGAGGCGAGAATAACTGCAGTCGATTAAATGTATATTCCCAGCAGCTTTATAGACAAATACTCATCGGAGTTTTTTTTACTATTAGTTTAGTCTGCGTCTTTATTCGTTACTTGCAATATAGCTTTATAAAATGCCCGTTTGCGACTCTCATTTAATAAGTAAATAATTTATATTATCTTACAATTAAATGAGCAATTTGTTACCTTTTTGATGCATGTGTTAAAACAATTCTTCCTCTGCTCTCCTACTATAAATAGATAGACCGTAAATGTTGTATAATAAACCGAAAAAGGAGAGAAAAGTCTAGGGAGGGAAGATTTTAGAATATCTGATTTTCCGAATGACTAGGGAATCTCACGATTCTCTCTTGCATCGTTCGATTTTTTAGACCTCGCTCACGGAATTATTGGGTCTGTGTAGATTTGAAAATTCTTTAGCGTCCAGTGAGCGTATAAATGAAAGATCTGGTTGGCATACAGAAGTGGTCTAAGCGCGCTTAACGAGAATACGAACAAAGCTCTGCCTCCAGCATAGGCGTCGATGCCATTGTTACCGATGAGAGCAGGTAGTGTCGGTTTTCTTTCTTCTTGACTGCAACCAAAAACGTACAGTCTAGCGTACCGTAGCGTAAATACTGAAAATAAATGTATTATGTGACTAATAAAAGTATCGTACGTGCTCGTTTTTTTTATAAACGTTTATAGATCTTTCTCGCGGTGTGTCTTACGAGTAAATGTATCATTGAAACTTCCCATCGTCGTTTCCATTCTGTGGGATCGCGGTTAAAAATAATTTGTTACAGATTATTTGTTGTACTGTCGAGTGAAGAAATAACAATCATTGTTGGTACTGCAACACGCGCAACGTGAGAGAATTGCATAAACGTCACCCCGACTATGTAACGTCCTAAACAGCACAGATCCTCGTTGTAAACTCAAAAAGGATTTACTTTCTTGAATTCTCTATGAATTAGCGTTGTCAAAATGAACTCGAAAGAATTGCCTGTCGGTAGTTCACAGAGGATTCCACAGAATTAAATATTCTTTTGACTTAAATGGAAGTAGATTAAATTCCGGATAAAGAATTTTATATCGAAATTGATGAAATCAGAATCGATGACGTAAAAGCGAGTCCTTTTTGAAGTCTTACAAATGTTTTAAAATAGAAACGGTAACAGAATTTATTTCATAATTCGAAAATTAAGAAATTCTGTGCAGTCTGGGTCGCCTCGACGTTAGTGTTTTTTTCATCTTTTATCTCTTTTCATTTATAATTTGCTTCATTTCTTGTAGAATTTATATATGACGGTTCGTTCGACGATATCAGGCGGATATGTTTTTGAATATATAATGTTCGAACAATGCGCAACTGCGAAAGAACTAATGCGTCCTCGATATGTCGCCGTAGTTTTGCGAGAATAGGTCGTTTCGAGTAGATCGGCGAGCTGGGCGCGCGAGGAAGACTGAATAAAATTCTAATGGACACCGGGATTCCTGTGCGGCGACTTAATCTGATATCGGACACGATACTATCGCTTTATCGAAAGACGACGGAGATAACTCTGCGAGCCGCAATCGGTTTCTCAAAAGTCCCACGTCAAACGTAACTCGACCGCGACTGTCCGAGCAACATGCTTGCATTCGGACTCGAACAGAGACACGGTTCGCGCTTCTCTGCGATCCGCAGTGAATCGTCGCGTCTCACGTTAAATCGCTGAAAACAATCGAGCCGAGTTTACGCGCCGTTTTCCCTTTTTCCCCCTTTCTCTCTTTCCCCTCTCTGTTCTTTCTTCTCTCGCATTGCGTGTGTTCAGCAAACGTGATTGCTCGGGTCACAATAGCGGTAAGCGAGTCGTGCTCTCGTAAGCGATTTTAAACGCGATAGGACGACGGCCAGTTAAGATTCATCGTGCTTTTCGTGTCTGTTAAGACTACGGAGTGCCGGTAAATGTGACAAATGTGTTTTTTAATTCAGTAAGCCCTGACGGATTCATTCATATAAACACACGATCAGGGGCGCAGCTCATCGCAGATTCAAAAGTACAGGATGCTCTGAAAAAGGTGCGTGTGCGTGTGTGTTGTACACGACATCCGAGATTAATCGAACAAAAGCACCGTCAACTCATTTTATACGCGGCAATTTCGAATCTCGAGTCGATTTTAAGTGCTTTCAATTTTAAAAGATTTATTTTT